GCCCAATCTCTTTCCACTAGATTTGGTCATCTGACCTCAAAACCAGAAGGTTCCTATTGTGGTAATCCGTGTACTAATAGTTCTGTGTTGGTCATTTGTAAGATCTATATCACCTTTGACAAGCCATCATCATCTGTTTAATGTTGCACTAAGGGCTGGTTTGCTGTACTGTATATTGAATTTATAGGTGCCTAGAAGAGAGTGAATATCAGATTTTTCAAAACTAGATGCTCTGCTAGAGGAACAGAATGTTCATGTAATCTTTCCTGGAAAAAAAGAAAAGAAAAGAAAATCAAAGAGAGAGCCATCAACTTCATGGTCTTTAAATAAACCCGTAATTGCTTTCCTAGTTTCAAATGCCTACTGCACCTGGTCCTTTAAACACTATGCTTAGTCCATTCATGGGTAAAGGTGGATAATTTCCGCATCCAATTAACAAGTGTGTGATGGGAAATACGTTAAACTCCTGAGGCTTGTACTACACAATATCCCATACTACTAATGAGTGACAGTCTATATTTTATAGACCCTAGCTGAACAATCTGTATGATCATTTGTAAAAATAACCAAGTCTTGTTACAAAAATGGGTGCTATTTTTGGCAGCCCCTCCCCACTGCTTTCAGCTACCACCTCCCACATCCCAGCTGTCTCCTTATCCTGTGAGGGTTTTTGTTTCTCCCAAAAGCTTTAGTAGCTTCTCTGTTCTGCCCTTTTCTCTAAGGAAATCTCAAAGTTAACAGAAACTAGAATGAATGGCAAAATGTCACAGAGAGTGAAATCTCTGTTCCCCATTCCTGTCATCTGAGCTGACCTAGAAGCCAGCCGTTCCACTCAGACAGAAGAATGAACTGTATACGTGAGGACGTTTCCTCCCCTCCCCTCCCCTTCCCCAGCAGGCAACCGGCTCCTACTCCCCATTCAGGTCTCAGTAAAAGAGTGACATCCTTGGGAAAATACTCTCCACCTCTAGCCTAAGTCATGACCTTTTGTTGCATGTTCTCACAGAACCACCATCCTTTCCTCAATCATAATGATCATCATTTTGGAAATACCTGCTTATATGTGTCCTCTGGACAAAGACTGTTCACTCCAGTAGTCTGTAAGGTTCACTAACAAGCATGTCTCAAACTGTATTTTATGAAAGCGTGGTGGTAGGCGGGGAAGCCAGTGGCAAATAAATTTGGAAAATGCTGGATTAAATCAAGTTAAGCAATTTTGTCTATTATAGGACTTCTTGGAAACTTTAAAATGCTAACGTGTATAATTAATTGTCAGAGTTGTCCAAATCACATTAATCATGGAACCTTTTCCATAACACATGTTAACATCTGGATGAACTAGTGCTTTGTAGAATGTAGTTCGAGAAAAGTCAAAATAGAATGAATTACATTTTCCGCCTTTACTACAACATTATAACAGAGTGGTAATAGTCACGAGCACAGAGATTTCTTTTTGTTTTTAAGCACATGGATTTCAGATAAACTGGGAAGCTGCAGTAGAAAAGTTGTGACTAAATTTCAGAGTGACACGATCACACAGGAAAAAAAAGTAGGGATAAGAGTAAGTCTGAAGACACATGCACGCACCTGAGTGTACACACACACACACACACACACACACACACACACACACACACACGTAATGAGAAAGAAACCTGACTTAGGGGTTATGCAAGGATGGAGTTCCAGTTAAAGTAGAATTCATGCCAGGCAACAGAGTAAAAAGAGGGTTGATACGATTCTCCTAGATACTTGATCCTGAAAAGTAAGAACCAATATGGCACCTCCTGCTGGTCCAAGAAAACAAGGGGAACAGTGACAATCGGGTGTTTTCTAGCTGACTTCCAAAGAGAATTGTCAACCTGTTTAGGATGATGTGAAGTTCAAAAATGATAAATTTCAAGTTCTATAGAGTTATGTTATTCAGGAAGACTGTAATGTACCAAATTACAGTTGATTATTTTAAATAATATAAAATATTTAGTTTTTTGACTTTTGCTAAAATCATTTTTTTAAATGAAGACTTATCAGTACTACTGTAAACTATTATTTTATCTTGGAGATGGATAGTAATATTGTTATTAATATATTACTAATAAATGTTCATTAATATTCTAAGGGGCTGCCTCAGATCCTTTTTGGAAATGAAGGGATAGACAAAGTGAATTTAGAAATAATTATTTCAAGTTCAGTGGCTAATAAACTGATGTTTAAGGGCTTACTATGTTACAGATTATCTTCTAGTGTTAATCTAATAAGTAGGGATTTTCTTTGTGAGTTCAATTTCACAAGGCACATCATCACATGTGAACAATGGGAACCCAGAGTGGAAAGTTTGTTGTGAAAATCAACTAACATTTAGTTTTCCACATAAACCAACTCCAATGACTGTTTTTCTTGTGAAGACTGAAACAACACCAAGTAAAATTTCCCTTTTTATGTCTGAATGTAGACAATGTCATAGTTATTGGAGAGTACGAAGACTTTCAGATGTTTGCCCTATTACTGTAAACAAACTTAATCCATAATTTAATGTAGAATATTTCTGGAATACACATGAACGTAAATATATGAAGAGGAAGGGAACTTTGGAAAATGTTTTACAGTAGGGAAATGGCTTTACTGGGGCCATCTTTATGTCAACCCTGAAATCTATCTTTAATTATTATTAAAAGAAGTTTAGTTTTCTTTTTCTTTTTCTTTTTTTGAGTTGGAGTCTCACTCTGTTGCCCAGACTGGAGTGCAGTGGCCACTCCTGGCCACCACAGCCTCGACCTGCCAGGCTCTGGCGATCCTTCTGCCGCAGCCTTACAAGGAGCTGGAACTACAGGCCTGCGCTACCGTGCCTGGCTCATTTTTGAGTTATTGTAGAGACGAGGTCTCCCCAAGTTGCCTGGACGGGTCTGGAACCCACGGGCTCAGGCAATTCACTCACCCCAGCCTCCCAAAGCGCAGGATTGCAGGCTGAGCCACCGAGCCCAGCTAGGAAGTTTAATTTTCAAGGATGGCTCCCCTAAACATGTTCTTGAGTCTTGACACTTGGAGGCAAACACAGAACTTGCATGGTCTGGACAAAGGAATGGTTGGAAAAGATTGTTTGAAGCCTCTGGTGCCTGAGGTCATGGCTACCTCAGTAAATTCTGAATTTAGGAACCTGAATGCTATGTGAAAAGTCAAAGAAAGAGATAGTTTAGAATAGGGTATGGAAGTGTCCCTAGAGGAAGGAAGATTTGCTGGATCTGGTGATGAAGGAGAATCCACTGTGATCCGCTATCTGCTTCTCCTCCGTCGTCCCAGTGTCAGGGCATTCCCTCAGCTCCACCTGACCCAAAACTGCACCCTCCATCCACCTGTATCCCCCAGAGGGCCTACCCTATTTTTCTCAAGGGGGCTGTAAACACAAAATCTCTTTAGGTCAGGCTCGGTGGTTCAGCCTGCAACCCCAGCACTTTGGGAGGCCGAGGCGAGTGGATTGCCTGAGCCCGCAGGTTTGAGACCCACCCGGGCCAATTGGCGAGACCTCAGCTCTACAATCAATCCAAAAAATTAGCCAGGTGTGCTAGCACGCCTTTAGTTCCGGCTACTGGGAAGGCTGAGGTGGAAAGATCGCCAGAACCCAGCAGGTTGACGCTGGGGTGGCCGTGAGTGTGCCACTGCACTCTAGCCTAGGCGACAGACTGAGATGCCAACTCAAAAAAAAAAAAAAAAAGCTCTTTGCTTCCACTTCCAGAGGGGTGTGTGTGTATACGTGTGTGTTGTGCACATCTATGCATGTGTGTGTGTACAAATGTGTACATGTGCAGTTCGTGTACAGTTGAATTCTTTGGGTAAAAGCTGCTGTGACGACTTCTCAGTCTTTAGAAACATGGCACTGGCCTCTCTTTCCTGGAGTCAGGATAAAGAACTCTCAGTCCTGCAAGGCTAGATGTCATTCCTCAACCTCTATGTGAGGACTAAGAGCTTACTGTGTGTTTGGTCCCTGGTCTCTAGCCGGCCTCTCCGGAACATATAAAAACCAGCCAGAAGCCGGGCTCGGTGGCTCAGCCTGTGATGCCGCGCCTTTGGGAGGCTGAGGTGAGTGGATGGCCTGAGCCCATGGGTTTGAGACCTGCCTGGGCAGCGAGACCTCATCTCTACAATCAATCAAAAAATCAGCCAGGCGTGGTAGCACGTGCCTGTAATTTTGGCTACTCGGAAGGCTGAGGCAGAAGGATCGCCGGAGCCCAGCAGGTCGAGGCTGTGGTGGCCGGGAGCGGCCACTGCCCTCCAGTCTGGGCAGCAGAGTGAGACTCCGACTCAAAAACAAACCAACCCAGCCAGAGCTTCAGCCTGCTGCCTGGGCCTCTGCCTTACCATCTGCTCTTGCCTCTTCTGTCCTTTGGACATGCCAGGTTGCTCTCACATATACCTGAGACCTGCTTACTCAGAACTGCACTTGTCCAAATGTACTCCTCTGGCCCCAGACCCAGCCTTTCAGCTGTCACACAATGCCAGAAAGGTCTCTCAGCCCCTGAAGCCACAGCTGTCTTGAGACTTTCTAGCTCCTTTCAGAAGAGTCAAACCTGACACCTTTCAAGATACAGCCCTAGAACAAGAGGTATCTTTAGCCTTGTCTTCAAGAAAAATTTCTCTCTCTCTCTCAATCTCTCTCTCTCTCTCACACACACACACACACAGCAGGTGTATGAATAGTTTGATTTCAAGCCTTATTGTCAGTCCAGAGCATCCTGGGCACTTGCTGTGACCCCAAACCACTGTCTCCTGATCTGCTGCAGGTGCCTTGAGAAATCAAGCTTCTCTCTTCCTCTTCTTAAGTTCAGCCTGGTTATTCAACCCAGAAAAAGGAAGCTGGGGTTGGAGCCACAGTGTTCAGACTCAGCTTGAAGTTCTCCCTCCCACTTTCTGTCTTTCTCACTCAAACTAAGAGGCTCCCACCGGTTGTGGTCAAAATTGTCCCAGTGGTTTCCAAGACCCCTCTCACAGTCATCTTAGACCTTTAGCTTTGACACCTCTTCTTGTAGGACACATCATCACAGGCAGACAGTTCCCTTCGGCACAGTGGACAGTGATTTTACACACACCGTACCAAGCTGCCACTGAGGATGAAACTGGTATCCCAGCTAGCCCTCTTTAGACCAGAGACGGGCCTGGGTAGCATCTCTGCTATACATGCTGAATCTCCTTATCATCTTCAGGGCCTGTGTTTAGCCCTGGGGTAAGCGTTGGGTTTTTTTGTTCAAGGTTCAGTTCAGGGAAGTTATATCTTGATGACTTCAATTCTATTTCATTCAAAATGAGTATGGCTTCATTGATTCCTATGGGAATATGTCTCCTTTCAACTAAGTCTCTAATGTTGAATAAGGTAAAGCCCATGAAAATTTGCCATGGCCAGTTTAGGCTTCAAATGTTAATATTCATGTGTTTGAGAAGCAGTGGCATGGAGACAACTTCCTGATCGTCATCCTGAATGGGTCTATGGGCACCGTGAAAAAGATGGTGGGCGGCTCTCTGCCTGTGTGTGCCCATCGCTGGCCTGTGCCCAGTGCTGAAGCAAGATCTGACTTGGCTCCCTTGTTCAGGGCTTCTTCCCCTCTCTCCAAAACTCCAGACTCTGTGGCATTTGGGGGGTGACTTGATAAATCAGGCGCAGCCTTCTGGGACATCTCGACTTCAGGGAGAGTGTCTTTCTCCTAGAAGGGATCCACTATGTACAAAAGGAGAAAGCTGCATGAGTTAAGTGGGTAAATGATTGCTCTAAAGTGAGATGCCTCCAGGTTATCTCACTTTTCCACTTACGATAATCCTCAGACTATCTTAATAAGTTTTCCAACGTTTCCACTCATTTCATTTATCTTCTTAAGATTAGCTAGAAAAAAGTTTTTAAAGTTACCTCAGGGCCCTTTGCACCAACTGCATAAATGCCAAGGCCTGGGAGCCATGAGCACCTTGAAGCACAGTCTTTCTCTGACGCCCCATCAGGGCAGCTGTGATCTGTTTCATATCAATAGGATGTCTACAGGCCTCCTGGAAGGAGTTATTGACTACTTTCAGAAATAAAGACCAAAGCCAGTGAAATATGCAAAGTTTCCTTTCTAACTAAATAATTCACTGAACAAATTTTGTTAAAACTTAGTTTCCTCATTTAGAACATAATGCCCCAAGGAGATGGGAGGGTAGTTGACAAACGAATCTTTGGAGATCAAATTTGACAATCATCTGCTCACAGATGATGTGTCAAAGAAGACCTTAGATTCTTTTGGGGTCATGTTTTGGTCTCTTCCCTATCCATTCCAAAAACCCCTTCCAAAGAATGGACACCTGCCCACACAGGAATTGTGGGACGCTCCCGCTGCTTCCGTTCTGGTCCCAACTACCCCTATCATTCTCTCTGATTATTAGAATTACCTTTGAAACAGACTCCCTCCTTCTGCCCTTGTCTCCCTAAGGTCTCTTCTCAGCACAGCAGCCAGAGTGATCCTGTTAAAATATGAGTCAGACCATGGAATTACTCTGATAAAAACCCTCCAAAAATCCCCATCTCACCCAAAGTAAAAGCCAAAACGCTATGACCCGCACGTCCTTCCTTGTCTGCTCTCTATCTCTCAGCAGTCTGACTTGACTCCTACTCTTCCCAGCAGCCAATTCTCCTTGTGTGTTTCCTTACTTCCCACAGTAAGGACACGGGGTCCTTTCTGATGGATCATCTCCTCAGCAAGACCTTTCCACCATGATGAACATTGCATCCCTGGTCTCTGGTCTTCTTTGTTGCCCTTTAAGACACTTGTAATAATATAATCAAACTATATATAGAAATGATTTATATTAATAACTATATATTTTATATTAAAATAATATATACAGTTTGCATATGTGTCTTTTTTCTTTTTAATATTTCTCCCTACCTCCTACAACCTCTGCCCAATCATACACACTAGAACATAACTCGAGAAAGGTAATCATTTTTGGTGATTTTCTTTAGTGTTTTATCCAGGGGGCCTAGATCAGTGTCTGACACATATTGGACACACATTAAATACTTGTTGGAGCCAGGCTCGGTGGCTCAGCCTGGAATCCCGCGCCTTGGGAGGCTGAGGTGAGTGGATTGCCTGAGTCCGCAGGTTCGAGACACGCCTGGGCAACTTGGCGAGACCTCATCTCTACAATAAGTCAAAAAATTAGTCGAGTGTGGTAGCGCGCGCCTGTAGTTCCAGCTACCCGGAAGGCTGAAGGATAGCTGGAGCCCAGCAGGTTGAGGCTGCCGTGGCCGGGAGCGGCCGCTGCACTCCAGTCTGGGTGACAGGGTGAGACTCCAACTCAAAAAAAAAAAAATACTTCTTGGACGACTGACTGACTTGGAAGAGAAGACCACACATGGGAGGTGCAGGTTGGGGAGAGCAAAGAGAAGCTGTGAAGCCCTGAGAGACAGAAAATGCAGACCTGCATAAGGATGGGAACAACCGACCCTGGGGACTTCTCAAGGGAGGAAGGAAGGGGAGTGGGCTGAAAGACCTCCAGCTGGGCACCATGCTCACCACTTGGGTGACAGGCTCAGTAGAGCCCAAATCTCACTGTCACGAAATATACCCGTGTAACAAACCAGCACATGTACCCCCTTGAAACTAAAATAGAATTAATTTTTTTAAAAAAGAGTAGCCCTGCTCCTCAACTTTCTGTTCCTGATTCCAATTCCCATTAGATCTCGAACATGTCTTTTTTATTCTTGTCTTTGTACTGTCCACAGATATCCATAGTATTACCCACTTTATCCTTACAACACACTTCAATTGAACTGACTTGAAAAGGCGAATAGAAGGGAACATTAGGAAAGAAATGAGCAAGCCAAATCACATAGGACCTTGCAGACCATTCCAAATACTTTGATTCTTCTCTGTTTGAAATGGGAGACCAGCACAGCAGGGCTTTTTGATCAGAGGAATGACATGCACTTGACTGTCATTTTAAGGAGTTCCTTCTGACTGCTATAGGGAGAGAACTATTATAGGAGTCAGGGTTCTCCAGAGAAACAGAACTAATAGGATATACAGAGAAAGAAGAGAGAGAGAGCGAGAGAGTCATTAAAAAAAAAAATGTCTTATATAATTGTGTGGGCTTGCAAGCCCAAAATCCTTAGAGCAAGCCAGCAAACTGGAGACTCAGGTAAGAGCCATTTTACAGTTTTGAGTCCCAAAACTGGAGACTTAGGTAGAATTTTTATGCTGCAGTCTAGAGGCAGAATTTCTTCTTTTTTAGGAAAACTCCATCTTGGTTCTTAAGACTTTTGACTCACTGGATGAGGCTCACCCATCTTAAGGCGGGTAATCTGTTTTACTGAAAGTCCACTTATTTAAATATTAATCACATTCAAAAAATATTTTCACAGCAAGGTCTGGCCTGTTGTTTAACCAAACAACTGGGCGCCACAGCCTAGCCAAGTTGACACATAAAATTAACCGTCACAAGAGGCCAAGTTGGAACCAGGAAAGCCAAGAAGGAAACTATTAACATAATCTAGATGGGCAATCATTGGACCAGAGTGGCAAGCGGTGGAGGTGATGAACTGGCCAAATTTCAGATGTCTTTTGAAGGTCAAGTTGAGAGAATTTGCGAATAAGTTGGATGTGGGATGTGAGAGAGAGTGAGGATTCCACGCTGACTCCAAAGCTCTTGGCCTGAGCAACTGGAAGAATCAGCTAAGATGAGGAGGCTGCAAGTGGTGCAGGATAACTCAGGGGTTCTATCTGGATCTGTTGCGTTGGGAGAAAACACACATTCAAGGGAAATGCTGGACAGACAATTTGCTATATGAATCTGGAGCTTGGATGAGAGGTCTAGGTTACAGAAATGAAGGAGTTTCAGCAAACAGGTATAGCATTAAACCACAACAAGACTGGTGACCTCAGTACGGCCATTGTGGGGGAGGAATGGGGACAAGGACTTGATTGGAGAGTCTTCAAGAGAGAATGAGAAGAGGGGATGGTAAAGAATCTATAGAGCTGGAGCTGACTGTAAGTAAATAAGATGAGAAAAGGCACAGAACTCATTGGACGAGACGGAGCTTTTTTAGCAATAATGGCGCCTCGGATAAACCTCGTTGGCGATGATACTGCCACTGCGCAAAGCTAAGATGGGACATTTTAAAGAGTAGAGCAGGCAGATTTGAAAGATGACAAATCAAAAGTCTCATAATGGAAATACATTATTTAAACAAAAAGAATCTCTCAGTGGTGGAGAAAGAGCAATTAGAAAGGGCTGAAAAGCCACCATTCTAATAAAATGCCAATTATTGTTATAATTGGATTACTGAGGATTAGTCTTAGCACGTGGGGTATAAATACTTAAAATGTTTAATTTCCTAATTACTGGCTCCAAAATAGTCTTTCTAGACACCCACTGTCCCACTGAGTAGCTGGCCACAAATGCTTCTTGGCCAGCGCCTATAGCACTCGAATCACTATGGTTATTGGAACAGTCTCATTTTGATATTTAGACTCAATCTTATTTTTTTTTTAAGCGAAAAAGCAGAATTTGTCGAGAGGACAGAAAAGCTCCCACAGTGGAGGGGGTTGTCCTTATTTTTTTTTTTTTTTGAGTTGGAGTCTCACTCTGTCGCCCAGACTGGAGTGCAGTGGCCGCTCCCGGCCACCGCAGTCTCGACCCGCTGGGATCCGGCGATCCTTCAGTCTCAGCCTTCCACGTAGCCGGAATTACAGGCATGTACTACCACGCCTGGCTGATTTTTTGATTTATTGTAGAGATGAGGTCTCGCTGCCCAGGCGGGTCTCGAACCCGCGGGCTCAGGCGATCCACTCACCTCAGCCTCCCAAAGGCACGGGATTACAGGCTGAGCCACCGAGCCTGGCCCTTATTTATTTTGAAACCTTATTCCAATCTCGTCTTTCCCCACTCCTCCCACCACTACCTTTGAGATAAGAATAAATAAATTCTGTTCTTCATACTGTTTTCCTTTTTCCTTTTCTGTCTTTGAACTTTCTCCTTCTCCACCTGTTCCATGAAAGAGTCGTATATACAAAGTGACCCTCAAATGCTGAAAAACAGAGAAACCAAAGAAAGAGGCAGACAGATCCAGTTTGTTGGTATTGGGTGATGTATTGAAGCGTAGTCTTGGGTGGTCAGAAAATAGGTAGACCTCTGAAATGTCACTTCCCAGGCCCGAGGTTTATATACCATAGGGAAAGAATATGTGTGCTCTGTGTACGACAATTAAAGGCAGCACCTCAGAACAGGCAAGAGTGGTACGTGCATCATAGCCTATAATCTGTGCAATATCATCAAGGTTGCTTTGCTCTAAAAGCAGGAGTGCGTGTTCTCAGACTAGGGACAGTAAATAAAGTAGAAATCAGGAGACATTCATGGGACTAGGGATAATCAGAAGTCAACATGGAGGATTTTTTTTGAGTTGGAGTCTCAGTCTGTCGCCCAGACTGGAGTGCAGTGGCCGCTCCCGGCCACCGCAGCCTTGACCTGCTGTGCTCTGGCGATCTTTCCACCTCGGCCTTCCAAGGATCTACATCCAAGATGGAATAACTTTTGTCTCCACACCACACTTCAGGCTCTGAGCCAAACTGTTGCCTACTGTTAAATGTACTACTCACAGATGATACTTAAGGTTTTCCTAAGGTGGTGTTCAGTTTCACTCCAGCTCCCTTTCTCCAAGGGACAGCTGCATCTCCCTTCAGACCACAAGAGGCACACAATGTGATTCTTCTGCTGGGTTGGGCATCCCATTACGTAACCAGAGGCCACCTGGTAGCCCTATATCTCCTGCCTCTCCCATTCTTCGAGCTCCTTTGCATGGACACAAAGATCTACTTCCACACCCTCTTTTCCCCCAGCACACTAGCTGTTCAGTGAACTTGGAATGCAGAATGCTTAGTGCCTATTGTGCTTTGCTTTGGTTTAGCCACAATTCTGGGACAGCAGGGAAAGTCTCATTTAGCATCCTAAGCTTCCATGCTATGCTGCATCCTGCACTAACAGGAAACGGAAGTGCAGGGAAGTTAAACTTGCCCAACTGGAAACCTGGAAAGCTTGGATTCAGATGCAAATCTTTCTGACTCCAAGGTCTAAGCGTTCTACCTTATTTTGCTTATAAGAGGATCCTCTCAGTCTAGGAAAGATTTAGAGGAAATGGAGCAACTTCTGACTCTGGGAGGATCGTCACAAAACTGCAGCAGAGTGAAGCATCAGTGGGAAAACAGAGAGCATTCAAACCTTTATCCATCATGGAGCCCAAGCTGCTCACCTGGCACTCCTACTATCTATGGGATGTGGGGCAGAGATGCTTTTAAGGTGGAGGCACTAGGCTCCTGGAGGGAAAAGCCAGGAGCGGACAGGAAAGGACCATCTTTTGTACTTTTGAAGGTAGGCCCCAAGGAGAGGAAGCAGAGAACCCCATTCTCCTGGTCATCTCTAGACTTCGAGGAAGGAAGCAAAGGGTCCTTTTGATTTTCTTCCAGGTTATCCAAAGAGCTCGGAGTTGGTGCCATGGGAAGGAGGGAGGGCAGCCAGGGTAGTAACTCTGCCTACCCAAAAGCAAGCACCACACCTTTGACTGGCATTTCCTTTCAACTCTTGCCCAGGAAGCTGAGCATGGCAGATGGGTTACGGGAGAGTGAGAAATGACCATCTTCCTAAAAACACAGTGCTCCAAAAGTGCATCCACACTTTTCAGGTGAGGAAATCCAGGCTCAGAGAGTATCATTTGCCAGAAGACACACACTGCTGGTAAGAAACAGAGTCAGAGCTACAATCCAGGTGGACACACTGGACGTTCTGCCCACTTCCCCAGGCTGGCTGCCTTCTCTGCTGGCCCTTTTGTGCCCCTCTTGGAGTTTTATTTTTTAACAAAGTAGATTTGGGAGCAAGGGGTAAGAAACACCATAAGTGATATACAAAGGAAATATTATGTAAGAACATTTGGAAAGCTGAAAAGTTGTATAGATGAAAGGAAGCATTGCTGTTACTTGTGGGAATGGTTTATAGCAATATCCTTTCCCATAATTACTATAATTTTAATTTTTCATCTTCCCTCAGAATTGAACATTAAAATAGGGCAAATGGGACTTAGGTTAGACAAATGAATGCTTAAATGAAAACATGGTAAAGAAAACTTGCAGAGATCCTCTGACAATGAAATTGGGGAAGGACCTCATCTCTCTAGCTGACTTCTCCTAAAAAAAAAAAAAGAAATAGATTGTTGAAGAAATACTGATTATGAAAAAAATACTGACCATTTGAGGAGGAAATATCAAGAACAGTTTTCCTTGAAGGCAATTCTGATTTTTTAAAAAAGTGATCTGGTTAGGGATACTACTCTGTCAAAGATTATTAGTAGAAGAAAACTATGAAGACTTCAAGAAGGATTTATCTGTCCCATGAGTGAAATAGTAGCCTGATTTTAGATGATGTGTGACAGAAAGAAGATAAACCAACCCCGAAGGGAAACTCTGAGTTGGCAAAACCTGTGTTTCTCTTTTTCCCTCAGAAAGGGAAACAACATGATCCCATTTCAGGATATTTCAGTGAGAAACTAGGCCAATATCATCTAGCTGCTGGGTGCCTTTTTTTTTTCTTTTGGGAGGCGAGGCAGGAAGAAATGAAGCATGTTTACCAGACTTACGAAGATATGTTTGAAAGTGGTTATCTCAATGTGACCCCTAGTGTCCAACTTGTATGGCACTCACAGAGGAGAATCTAGGTGATTCAATGGGCTGGAAGCCATGGAACCAGGGAGAGAATTTTGTCTAAGTCAGAAAGAATTAGAGAGAATTCAGTCCAGTTTTTTCATTTTTTGAATAAGTAATTAAGACCCTGTAGTGATAAGGTGACTTGCCTAGGTACATAGTCAGTGGCAGAGCTGGAATGAGACCCACATCTTCTAAGTCCTGTGCTATTTGTGATCCTTTTGAGAATATTTTCCAAAAAATGCAGTTGGTTTTACATAGTTTGTTATAGCACCTACCTATGAGGAAGTATGAGAATTACATGTTTATTTCACACGGGCTGAATTATGAAGAGGGTACTAATATCATTTACATGATCTGAAGCAGTGGTCATCAGTTACTGAATCTTGAATCGTTCATGTTAAGAATTGTGTAAAAGATTGAAAACCCTTTCCATGTGTTCCTCATTACTTATCACATACTTAAGTGATAGATTACGCCATTTCTTCTCAGCCCAACGTTCATAGTGATCTTCAAAGGAAAGCAATTGTAGCATGTAACTGGAGCAGTCAGTCAGGGTGAAAGCCTGCTGGACCTTCCAGGTTCTCAGCTATGGCCATTTGTGTCAACAACTATTATGCTCCATCCATGTGGGGTCCCTCTGCACAGAGCCTTCTGCATGATGCCAGAGGACATCACGTTCCCATGGCTGCTGGTTCTCCTAATCCAGACAATCTAACTTTAGCCGGTCCCTCACTACCAACCAAGAGTATTTGGGTCACTGACTCGCAAATTCCCTCCAACATAAGCTCCACATTCCATTGTCTTCAAGTTCCAGCCCCCTTCTTGATCCCCTTAGTCTATCGAATGATCTCGTCCCCCAACTTCATGGAAAAAATCAAAGGTCATTCAACATGACTTAACAAAACTTTCATTTTCTTCTCTCTGTAAAATGTCTTTCTATCTGCTATCCTTTTCAAACAAATGTAGCCGGGCTCAGTGGCTCAAGCCTGTAATCCCAGCACTTTGGGAGGCTGCTGTCTCATCTCTACAATAAATCACAAAATTAGCCAGGCATACCTGTAGTTCCGACTCCTTGGAAGGCTGAGGCTGAAGGATCGCCTGAGTCCAGCAGGTTGACACTGGGGTGGCCATGAGCGTGGCACTGCTCTCTAGCCTGGGTGATGGAGTGAGACTCCAACTAAAAAAAAAATAAAATAAAAGAAAGAAATGTTCCTTTTCTTTTCAATGTCTAGTCCTTTACTTGTCCTTGTGAATTCTTCCTGGGACATTGTTCCATCAATTACCAACATTCTCTTCTACCATTTTCTCTTCTTTTCTTTATGGCCCCTTCTTTTCCTAGAAAAATGCTTAAAATTCCATTAAACTTAGAAAAAGAGTCTCTTGAGCAATGCCTCTCAGGTTAAATCCATCTCTACCCTTCATTACAGTACTTGCTGAATGATCTACACCCAACCTCTTCTTCACCCCTTGTAATCTCAATTTTATTCCAACAGTCATTTTCTTCCAATCATTTTTATATGAAGCTAAAATAATCAAAATTTATTCATTAGACTCAAAAGCCTATTCTTAGTTTTCAGACTTTCTTGATCCTGCCCCAGGGTTTTGTCCACTCAGGAAGTAGTTACTAAACATCTACTTTATCAAGGCCCTGAGCTGAACCTGTGGGGAATAAGGGTGAGTGATGACCTGCCAAGAGCTTACACACTAGTAGGAGAAACAAAAACAGAAATGGATCAAGGGAGTACTTTTCCCCTAAAGTATCAGCAATTTAGTTAGATAATTCAATGATATTCTTCACATTATTGTGTATGTCTAATTACCCAAGTTAGAGTATAAGTTCCTTGAGAAAAGAGACATTGTCTTCTGTCCCCAGGTACTTGTGATCGTCAACCTCTGGGATGCCACCAATGATTCTTGCCTCCTGGTATTCGTGCTTCTGTGTGGTCTCTTTGCATATTGAATAGGGCTGGGCTAGGCAACCAACATGATATTGAGGAAATGATGGTTTGTAACTTCTGAGGCTAGTTATGAAGGACATTGCAGCTTTGTCCTGCCTTCTCTTGGATAATTCACTCTAGGGGAAGTCTGCTGTTATGGCATAAGAACACTCAAGCAGCCATGACTGAGACCTTCTGTCAGTAGGCAAGGGAGCCATCTTGGAAATGGATCCTCCAGCCCTAGTAAAGTCTTCCAATGACTGCTGCCCTAGCTGACACCTTCACTGCATATTTTGAGACAACCTGAGCCAGATCCTCCCAGCTGACCCCTTATCAAATTCCTGGTCCAAAACTATTGTGTGAGATAATACACATATCTTGAGTTAGGATAGTAAGATTTTTAGTTCTTTGTTATACAATGATAAATAGCTAATTCCAATTTTGGTAACTGAAAATGCAATGATGCTGCTATAATAAAAATCTACATGGGAGCAGCTTTGGAACTGGAAAGCCAGCAGAAGTTGTAGAAGAAACTGTTAGAGAATCCTGAGCACCTCAGAAGAGTCTAATAGTGGATGTTTAATGAACTTCAAGGAGGTGGAAACTTAAAGAAAAATTTTAAAAATGTTATTGGACACCAGAGGAAAGTGGATCCTTCGTGAAGTGGCAAAAACTTTAGCAACATGGTGGAATTCTTCCTGGTAAACTGGCAGATCTAATAAGGAGATTTCCAGTCAGAGCACTGAAGGTGCTGCTTGGTATCTTCTTGCTGTTTGTAATAAAATGTAAGAGGAGAGAGATAAGCTAAAGGAAGAACTGATCAACAAAAAGAACCCAGAAAGTGTTATATTTAAATTTCCCAGTTTCCCCCATGAGCAAGGACTGACTCCAGAGCACTCTCAGAAAATCATATTCTGAAGATAAAACCAAAGAAATGACTATAACATCCTCTGTTAAGATCTCAGAAAGATCCAAGTTTGTTCCTTGGAGAACTATTCAGTCAAAAGATAGAATTTCTAAGAAGTTTAAGAAGAGTGTTGTTGTCCCTCAGCAGGCTCAGAGAAACTTAAGGTAGAGAAAGGCATATCTTGAAGCAATTTGTGGATGTGGCTTTGACCTAATAGAGTGAATCCAAACAGGATTATAGTAAACCCACAAAGCTTTGCCGGACCCACAAATTATATTGTCAGAGATATGGCCAGCTTGTCTTAAAAAGGACAGAAAAAATACAGAAGAAAAAGTGGCTGCTGGATCAATCCCCAAACTTCTACAGGCAGGCAACACGCTGAGAAAACTACACTGCATGTATACAAGCTACCTTTATGGAAAAAGAAAGATCACTCAGAGGGTAGACCCAAGAACCCAGAGCATGGAACCAAGGTCAATTAAGAGTCATTCTAGGAATGAATAGCGCTGAGTAGTGAGGCCTCCTCTGAACAGCCTGTGAAGAACTGAGGCAGGCCTCTTGCCAACAGCCATGTGAGTGCGCCATCTTGGAAGTGTCCTCCAGCCCCAGACAAACCTTCAGATGACTATAGTCCTGTAAACATCTTGACTACAATGGAATCACCAAGCTAAATTGGCTCCTGGTTTCCTGACTCATAGGCACTGTGCGCGATAATAGATGCCTATTTTTGTTTTAGGCCACTAAGTTTGGAGGTAGTTGTTTTTGTGGAGCAGTAGATAACTAATATAGTGTTTAACAAATTTGGGAGGAGAATAATATAAATCATATCTTAAAAAGGAATATAACCAAATCCCAGTGATTAAGCCAAAATAAATAAATACATAAACTCTTCAAACACATACTTCTAGGCCCTTAACAGAGATAAAAGTTGACTTTTAATTATAAAATTCCCTCTTTGTAGACCCATAATACAAGGAGAAAGCAAGCAAAGATGTTGTGACTCACTTCACAGTTGACCAATGTAGAATGTATATTGCTGTCCTCTTACTTGAATAGGCAAGGAATGTCCAAAATGTATGTGAAATGACTTGGAAAACAGACTATGTGACCCAAAAAATAATATTCTAAGAGAGTTAAGGGTTCATTACTCACTCATTCTCTTCCCTTTCTCTCTTTTAGGCCTGAATTTATCTTTGTTAACTTTGTTTCATTTTCCAAGATTACAAGGAAAAAAAAAGTATGGTATGTGAAAACAATACAGCCAGGAAACTCCAACTTATTTTTATACTTTTAAAAACATTCTTTGAAGCAGGAAAGGTTTAAATTCTAAATCTCAAGATAGCTAAAACAGATGCATTATTCTAAGGAGCCAGCAAGGAAAATATAATCTGGCTTCTCAAATAAATCCACTGGAATTGATGGAAAGTTATCTCCAAAAAAGAGCATTATCATCAAATTGAGAGGTTGAAGGGCCGGATGAGAAGCTATTTACATTGGGCCTGCATTCACCGAGTTGCCCTTGAGCTCTCCAGAGAAGTTCAGGTCATTGTTCTAAAATTACTAACGGAATTGGTACCCAGAAGGATGCCACGCTTTTGTTGCTTTTTGCTGTGGTTTTACTTCTACTAAACCTAACAACACTGCTGGAGAATTGTCCTCTGAACAGAAAAGTCCTGAAGTCAGTCTTGGATCTGACCGCACACAAAGAAACCCCTGCTGAAAATGTCTTCAACAGATAGGCCTCGTCTCTCCAGTGAGCAGCAGCCAGGAAGAGGCAACCTGAGCTCCTTCTGATGTCTTGTGCTCCGTGCTTCAAGCTTGGCCGCCATGCCTCAAAGTGGGCTTCCCGATCACGTTCTGAGCAGGAAAAAGGGAGAGAGACAAGAGCACAAAAGGCAGAACGGGTATTCAGTCTCATCTGTCCCTTTTCGAAAACTTTCCCAGGTGTACTGCCCCCACCCCGTAACTCTCACTCCCATCCCATTAGCCAGAACTGGGTCACATGATCACCACGACCCGCAATGGAGTTGGAAAAAGTGAAATAATTTTCCATTGCGTTACTTCTTCCGTAACGGAAAACGGGAGGAAGGGAGCTTTGAGAACCGATGGGGCCTGTACACAACGTCTGCCAGACCTGGGGCTGAAAGAGACCTGGGCAATCCTGCTAATCTTTTTCTGCCTCCACTGGATCCTCCCCAGACATAACTCTCTCCATTAGCATATGGTGAATACCAGAATTCAGCCAAACAGCAAGAGGTGCCTTTTGGAAAATAGATGCCTTGGGAGTGATTTCACCTGGGGCCAATCCTGTCCTCTCTCAGCAGCAAAGGTGATTATTTTTCTTAATGACTGTTGTTTTGCATCTTGTTATGCGAACTGTCAGCGTCTTTATTTAGCAGATGACATTCCACAATCATTTTAGATTTATTTGGTACCTAATTTACTTAACATAGCTTTTGCTGTGCAAGTTAATCAGTGGCCCAAGAACTCTTAATAAGCTCAATTATTTTTCAGTGAACACCTCCCTGAGGAATGCTTTATGAAAATGATGACAAGGCACAGGCTCAGTAGCTTTCAGAATCAATAAGTCACCGACTAATGTATTAAGAAGACCTTGAACTTACACCTCACTGCAGTAGGCTTCATGTAGCAGATACACAAATGAGTATTTGTAAATGTAGCTGGTTCTTAGTAGAAAATCTCCATTAACCCAGCACTGAGTGGAGAAGAATCTCTGTGGTCTTATAAAAAATGATGACATGATATATACCATTTCATCAGCTATTTCTCTGGAGATTTTTTTTTTAACCCTTTTTGATATCAGTGGAAATCAGTGAGGTTAGCAAAAATGCTCTGTTGAGATATATCTCTCCATATGCCAATGAGGACTGAGTTCAAAATGCCAGGACCCATTTTTGTGTAATTTACAACGCAAGATGGAAGATGCACACGTTGTGGAACACAGGACAGTCATAACAACACACTACTCAGAAGCGCAACCAGCTGCCCCTGGCGACTGAAACACCTGTATATATACCTGCTGCCTTCACTACTGGGTATCTAGATAGCACCCTGTGAACAGGAAGAAACTTTGGGAACGTTTGTTGAGCAAATAAATGTTTTTCATAGTGATAGAGAGTAAAAGGAGGGGGAGGATGAGAACAGGCAGAACATGGTCCTAGGGAAGGCATTCAATATACACATGTGGAAAGGGTGGAGTGGTTTGTTTATCTCAGAGAAAGAGTTGTGGAAAAA